GGAATGTGGGCCATCTGGGGGAAAAGTGTGGCCTCAGGTGGGAAGTGAAGTAGCTGATGGCTGGAGGAAGGCTACTGCCTGCACTGCCCACACCAAGTTCTTCCTTCCAGGGGAAGCTATGTGCAGCTCTGGGTGTACACTGCAGATGTGTAAATTTGGGGAGGGAGGGTATAGGGAATCCGTGAACTGATAATCCACGATTCTAGAAAGGGAAAGTGTTCATGGGAACAGCACAAGCATTCTAAATTGATTCAGCTCATAGCAACAGGACCGGGAAGTCTCCACAGGAGCTTAAAGAGGTGATGTAAGTTAGAGAAGAAACAATACTACTTTTTCCTTGTACATTTTGTGTTTTCATAACAAAATACCTGAGGTGGGGAACTTTATAAAGAAAAGAGGTTCACTTGACTCATGACTTTAGTGGTCAGTGAGTCCAGACCAAATGTCATCATTTGGCAAGGCCACTTTGGCTATGCCACAACATAGCAGAGAAGTAGACGAGGAAGCGGGCACATGCAAAGAGAGAGGTCACATGGTGAGACAGGAAGTCAGAAAGCAAGGAGGGACCTGACTTACTTTTTTATAACAACCTGCTGTTGCAGGAACTACTCCTGTGTGACCCAGTCCACTCCATGAGACCAGCATCAATCCCTCATGAGGGCAGTCATGGCCCAATCACCTCCTCTTCAAAGTCTGACCACTTCTCAACATTGCTACATGGTACACCAAGCTTCTGGTGCACACATCTTTGGGAAACAAAACATATCCAACCCAGAGCATCTCTCTCTTAGGAAATCTCTTAGGTGGTCGGCTTCCTTTTCAGGGCTTCTTATTAAGGATAAAAAGGGAATTTTAGGCTTATGGTGGGATTAGATAACTTTTCAAAGAATACTTTTGTGTCTTGACCTTTTTCTGTTATCCCTGTGTTATGGCTTAGATATGATGTGTCCCCTAAACTCATGTGTGAGACAGAACAAGTGAATTGATCACATTATGAGAGTATGATCTAATCAGTGGATTAATCCACAATATGAATTAACTGAGTGATAACTGCAGGCAGGAAGGGTGTGGATGGAGGAAGTTGATCACAGGAGGCATACTTTGGGGTTTATATTGTGTCCCTGGAGAGCAGAGCTCTGTCTGTGCTTCCTGATGGCCATGTCATGAGCTGCTTTCCTTTACCACACCCTGCTGCCATGATGTTCTGCCTCAAGTTGGGCCCAGAGCAATTGAACTGGCCCATTGTGAACTCTCAAACCATGAGCTGAAATAAATTTTCCTCCTCTATATTGTTCTTGTCAGTCCTTTTGGTTACAGCAACCAAAAACAAACAAAAACTCAAAACTGACTAAAACACTCTGTCTATAGCAAAAGATTAACTTTAGAATAAAGGGACTTCAGCTGACGCAAATCAGATTCAGTGTATATCTATTGAGCACCTACTGTATGCCACCTGCTGAGCCAGATGTTTCTGCATATACTCCAACAGGCTCATATTCCTATATTTATTAATTTGTCATGAAAACTATATTTTGAATAGATTTTCTTTTCATTTTTCAAATTACCAACTTGTTTATATAAAACCAAATGTAGAGGACATCCTTTTCTAAACCGAGAACAGTAGAACCCCTAGAATCTTGTTACTAATGTGGAAAACAAGCTTCCACTGTGTTTAAAAGATACTTTGTGATTACCACTTCAATTATACTTGTAAAATAAATCTCTATGAGCAGGAATGCTTTTAGCTACATTCTTAATCTTAAGAGATAATGCTTGGCCCTTTTATGGTGGTTGAGTAGATTAGATCTAGAGCAGTGAATTAATACTGAGTTAATTATCACAAGATTGGTGATTGATATCAAACTTCATGAAAAACATAGACGGGAACAAGTCAGCCATGCTGTGTTTACAAACCACAACTTTCAATAACAAATTCTTAAAACAAATTGTAACATATGTGGCTTACCGTGACAAATGTTTTTTTCATTTCAAGGTTATAAGACAATGGTTATTAAAACTGTTAAAACAAATTTTTTAAAATATTTATTTTTTAGTTGTAGTTGGACACAATACCTTCATTTTATTTATTCATTTATTTTTATGTGGTACTCGGATTGAACCCAGGGGCTTACATGTGCTAGGCGAGCGCTCTTCTGTTGAGCCACAACCTTAGCCCACAATTTTTTAATATACTAAGAAACTTCCTTGCATTAAGAAATAGTCTTGAGGCTTAAACATGGATGTGCACCTGAGGAACCTCTGGATCCATGGGCCTAAATATGGACGCCTGAGGAACTTCTGGATCCGGGGACCTAAACATGGACATCTGAGGAACTTCCGGATCCTAGAGCCTAAACATGGATGTACACCTTTGAAACTTCTGGATCCGGATCCGGGGGCCTAAACATGGATGTCTGAGGAACTTCCGTATCCAGGGGCCTAAATATGAATGTGTGCCTGAGGCACTTCCGGATCCGAGGGCCTAAACATGGACATGCACCTGAGGAACTTCCGGATGCTATGGCCTAAACATGGAGGACTGAGGAACTTCTGGATCCTAGAGCCTAAATATGGATGTGCACCTGAGGCACTTTTGGATGCTATGGCCTAAACATGGACATGTCCCTGGAACTTCTGGGTCCTTGTGCCTATAAAGGGCAGGGCGTGACTCTAAGAAAGGACATGGCCCATGAAGGGGAGCTGAGTATGGGGCTTGTTGGGGGGTAGACTGAGCTGTCGCCCTGAACTTTAATGTGTCGGTGGCCTCACTTCCCGGCCTTCCCCTGGGTGTCACTTCTTCCCCTTCCAGGCAGTGCCGGGGAGGAAGTGAGACCAGGCGCAGGGGCCAGGCCACCGTCTTTCTCCTCGCTTAGCCGCCTGGCTGGGGATGGGAACTTCTTATGACACTAGCTACCTCCTACATCCCTGCCCCAGGACCTTTGGGACCACAGGAGGGGAGTCGTTGACATGATTCTCCCCTGGCTGCTGACCCTCAGCCCGGGGTCTGCCCAGGGAGAGCTCTGTCTCCCAAAGGGTCAGGGGGCCCCTGTGACCTGCTGCTCCTTACCTACCATCATCCTGGGCGAGCAAAGTTCAGGACACCAGACGCTACTGAGAGTGACATCTCCTGGATGGGTGTCTGGGGACTTTGCCTCTGACTCCAGGCCTCAGACACCGGATGATTCCTCCCAGAGACAGAAAATAATCCCACACTGCCCAAGACTTATTTTTAAGCCTTGGATTCTGAAATTTTCCTGCTGCCACCTTCTTTGTGAAGCCAGTTTTTCAACAGAGACAATATTCCAGGAAAAAAAACACAACATGGAGTCAATCAAACCAAGCTGACACATCTGGTCCTCCAAGAGAAATCTGGTTTGGAGGGAAAACAGCCATTCTCAACTGGCGAAATAGTGAAGCTCTCTTGTCCTTATTTTGTGTAAGCAAAATAAATAATCTGATGTTAACTCATCAAATTATTTTTGATGAGTGCTTGGCTCATAGGAAAACTGATTCTGTTTTATGGAATGAAGTGTTACCTGATTTTAAAATTAAAAATAAGCCAATTAGGATTGTTAAAAAAAAAAAAAGAAGAAGAAGAAGAAACAGTCTTGAGATTCAACTTGAAGATATAATGGATTGGTTGAGCTTAAATGATAACAGCTGGTATGCAAATATCCAATAAGTAAGTATCTTCTTAGCTATCTTTCAAGGTGTGATTTCTAACCAGAAGATTTTCTGCTCAAATTTACTCTGTTTATTGTCACCCAAATGCTCAAGGTTTCTCATGAGTTCGCTCACTGATGCTTGTAACTTTGGGCTTTAGTTATAAATCCTAGCCAGATGTATGTTAAAGAAGTATGGAGCCATTTAATTTCTGTGGCCTCACTGACAAGACCTTATATTTGAAAAAGTTTTCTGCTACCCATATTCTCATTTTGGCATAAGTATGGGCATCTAGAAATGGCCCTTCAGCTCATGGCCATTTGTAGGGGCACATCCTAGGTGAGGGCTGAGTGTGAGTGGGCATCCCCAGAGCTGTCACTCTCCTTTCTGATGATCATGTCAGCTGCTTTTCTCTGCCACACTATTCTACCATGATGTTCTGCCTCACCTCAAGGCCTGAGGAATGGAGGCTGCAGTCTGTGGATTGAGACTTCTGATACTGTGAGCCTCCGAATAAACTTTTCCTCCTCTACAATTGTTCTGGTCAGGTCCTTTAGTCATAGTGGCAAAAAAGCTGACTAAAACAGCTAGTGAGAAGTTAGGGTCAGAAACAAAGTTGGACAGACGGTGGTAACAACAAAGCCAGCAGTTATCCCTGGGTCACCTTACTCCTATAGGTGCCGACTTAGGTCCAATGATGGAAAGGGAGGGATGATCATCAGGGGTGCCACCTTTTATTTATAAATGAAAGCTAGAACAGGGAGGCCAGTGGAGACAGGACCACATGTGACTTTCATGTGTCCTACATACTATGCTTGTTGTCATGAGTGGTAAGTTGGCTAGACAGTCCAGGTGCAGAGTGCTGACTTCCACATCCCCAGGCTTTTTATTTATTTTTTTATTATTAATTTTATATATGGCAGCGGAATGCATTACAATTCATATTACACATATAGAGCACAATTTTTCATATCTCTGGTTGTATAAAAAGTATATTCACTCCAATTCATGTCTTCATACATGTACTTTGAATAATGATGTCCATCACATTCCACTATCATTTCTAACCCACTGCCCCCTCCTTTCTCCTCCCACCTCTCTGCACTGTCTAGAGTTCATCTATTCCTCCCATGCTCCCCCTCCCTACCCCACTATGAATCAGGCTCCTTATATCAGAGAAAACATTCGGCATTGTTTTTTTGGGTTTGACTAACTTCATTAGCATTATCTTCTCCAACTCCATCCATTTACCTGCAAATGCTATGATTTTATTCTCTTTTAGTGCTGAGTAATATTCCACTGTGTATATATGCCACATTTTTTTATCCATTCATCTAAAAAATATGGAATACTTCATGAATTTGCATGTCATACTTGCACAGGGGATATGCTAATCTTCTCTGTATTCCAATTTTAGTATTTGTGCACTTCCTCCAGCCACACCCCACCTGCCTCCAACCACCACCGAGTTAATCCCATCAGGGATCAATTCACTGTTTAGGTTAAGGCTATAACCCAATAATCTTTCCTCCAAATCTTCTTGCATTGTCTCACCTGTGAGCTTTTGGGGGACACGATGTCTAAACCACAACAGCCTGCTTCTTCAAATCCCTGGGATGATTGGATGGCTTAAGTGAATGAAACTTGAACAGGAGGTGTCGTTTGATTGTGCCTTATTTTCCCCCTTTTAATCCAAGCAAAATATCAATGAGAATGCATTAAAGTTCTCTGAATTTTGAAGTTAGAATCTAGATCTCTCCCACCAGCACTGAACACTCATAGTGCAGCCTTGTCAACCTGTATCCAACCCACATCCTCCAGGTGAGGTGTCTAAGCTTCCATCATCAATTCCTTTTGTTCAGAGCCTTGATAAACCCAAGGCTGCTAACAAGGGGAGAGCACCTTCATTCCTGAATATTCCGTCCATTGCTAGGTTGCTTTTGTCTCTTCATCTCACGGACTCCATCTCTCTTCCTTGCTCTATATTCTACTTGATATTAAATCACTGTAATCTTTTCATACAAGTTTCTTAAAACATGTTACACTGGTGCTCCTACAGATTTTAATTCCTTACTGCCTGGCTTAGTCAGCACCCGCTGCCATAACAAAATATCATGGACAGAAATTTATAATCAAACAACAGAAATTTATATTCTCATAGTTCTAGAGGCTGAAGGTCAAAGATGGGGGGTGATAACATAGTTGGATTCTGGAGAAGGCTCTCTTCTTTACTTAGGAGTGTCTGTATTCTTCTTACATGGTCTTGCCATAGTGTGTGGTTGGAGGGAGAGGGAGAGAACGGGGAGGGAGAGAGAAGGAAAGGGAGAGATTGAGATTGATCTTCCCATTCCTCTTCTTATTAGGTCACCATGCTATCAGATGAGATCCCATCTTTATGACTTCATATAGTCACATAGGGTTTCAACATATGAATTTGGTGGGACCATAGTTCAGTCCACAGCACTGCCCTACTTCATGATACCCATTATCCACAGTCTCAGGCATTGGTGGGGTTCATTTCCTTGTGATTTTAACTTGATCCTACTCCAAGTTGTTTATGCCCAGTCTTTATATTTTCTTCTTCATTTAGCACACATTTCAATTCACCATTTAAACCTACTACAGGGAGAGTGATTTATAGATTATCCTTGCTTTTGCCCTAGTTATGAAATTTTTACTTTACTAAAAATCTGGTGTCTTTTATTTTTGTTCAGAAAAGCAGGTCAGTATGGAATCCTCTGTCCCCCTTAAATAGTTTGCATGCATTGTTCTCTCTGGCCCCCATAGCCTCAATCTTAACCTGCAGTTGCACAGGTACAACTGCATCCACTTTCATGTGAACTCTTGACCTCTCTCCAGATAGCTTCTCTTTTTATAATCATTTGGGTTTCTGTTTAAAGCTTCAGTGAGGTCTCAACTGAGCACTTATCTGTGGAAGTCAGCCAAATGACATTACATGTTTTATTTCTGATAACTAAGAATACTGTTACAACCTGCAGATAAGGAAACTGAGGCTAGAGAGGGTAAGAGATTTGTCCACAGTTGTTCACTTTCTGTCTTTCTTTTTTCTTTTGATAATGAGGATTTAACCCAGAATACTCAACCAGTAAGTCATATCCCCAACCCTTTTTAATATTTTATTTAGAGACAGGGTCTTGCTGAGTTGCTTAGGGCCTTGCTAAATTGCTTAGATTGGCTTTGAACTTGTGGTCCTCCTGCCTCAGCCTCCTGAGATGCTGGGATTACATGAATGCACCACTGTGCCTGACAAATTGTTCAATTTCTGAGCCATAAAGAGAAGACTTTAATGGCAGGGGTGAGGCTCCAGGGTCCTGGAGACCAACTAGCCCTTCTCCCATAAAAAGCTGAACAATATGTCATTTGGCTTTCATCTTTTCAAAGTCCTTTGAAAGGACTCCCTTCTTTCTGTCTTTACTTCCTTGACAAAACCTGTCTCATACTGTGTTGGGATCAGTATGAGAATGGTGACCAAACTACTTGGCCAGATGTAGGGTTACCAGACTTAATAAAAATACAGAAATACAGCTAAATTTGAGTTTTACAGTTCCCCTATTTTCCCCATCATATTCCAAGACAGATTTTGTCAAATAAGTGAAGACTGAAAAGAGGGAGAGTATCCTTCAGAAGACTTTGAAAAAATGGAAGCCAGATGACTCATCCTCCGTTTTTTTATGAGGAAGGGGCTAGTTTATCTCCAGGCCTCTTGGAACCCCACCCCTGCCACTCAGGTTTTCTCTTTTTGGCCTGATAAACAATAAGTATATTTTATTTTTTTTTTAATGTAGCATTTCTTTCTTTCTTTTTTTTTTGGTGGTGCTGGGGATTGAACCCAGGGCCTTATGCATGTGACGCAAGCACTCTACCAACTGAGCTATATCCCCAGCCCACCAATAAGTATATTTTAGAATCAATATGTCCCATGCTCTGTGTGGAATATGGACTCCTCTGTCCCCATTAGACATTGTGCATGGATCATACCCTCTGGCTCCCATTTCCTCAATCTTACCTGCAGTTGCACAGGTACACCTGCATGTACTGTGTGCAGTGCTAAAACATTATTTGTGTTTCATTTGAAGTGAAATTTAACTGGCCATCCTGTATTTTACCTGGCACCTTTGGCCGGATGGCTACCCTACAGATATGTGAGTGCTGTGAATGATGGTTCTGCACCTCTTGTGATAGTGAGGACATTTGGAAAAAGATAACAAACATTAAAGTCACATTGAGCTCCACTGTTTTATTTACTATTGTGGATTTTGACAATAAAACCACCACCACCAATATTCTAAAATGAATATATATTTTACTTTGAAAAGTCTGACATATATCTTTATCAACCCAGTGCCTGAGATTTTTTGTGAATTCACAGCATTTCATGTCTAGCCTAAGGGAACTTAGAAAACTATATTGCTTCCTCATTCAAGCTGAACTCATGTTTGAGTAAAGTTGGACAATCTATTTAACCTCTCTTTTTGCCTTAGTTTATTCATCTGGAAAAAGGAGATGGTCAGAGCAAAAGATTGTTGTGAGGAGCGAATGAGAAAACACATATGAAATTGGCTAGTCTAGTGCTTGCTATGCAGTAGACACTAAATAAATATTGGCTTCCTTTTCTTACCTTGCTTCTCCATTTCTGAGTATGGACAGCATTGCTTCATAGACCATGGCAAATTTCAAGGCTATATATTGCATACATGTCTCAAAGAAATTTTTGTTCTCTTTACTAATGCACAGGTGCCATCTGAACCACATCCTTGTGATGATTAATGAATTGATTGAATTGTTTGCTCAGAAAGTACTTATTGAGTACCTAATATACACCAGGCACATAGTGTTCTTGGAGTTGTGGATACGTGGTAATCAGGGCAAAGTTTCTATTTTCTCATGAGAATTGCTTCCAGTATGATGTGTGGGGGGGCATGGATAATGAATAAAAGAACAAGTAAATATATTTATTATACGGAGCAGTCAATTAGGGCTAATGTTGTGAAACTGAGCATTGATTTTGGTTCTGTGGAAGTCATTGGTGAATGTGACAGCTTTTTTTGTTTCCTGGAGTTTGCTCAAGAGAAGTTGATAAAAGAATTTTGCTGAAAGGGTGGCAGAAAAATGATAGGCAACTGAAAAGAAATCTGGAGTTAAAAGATTTTTTTAGTTTTTAAATCAAAGCTATTGCAGCTGTAAACTGAAAGCATGACCAAGGCAAGAAGATAATGTGATAATGCACAAGACTGTCTAGGAAGGAGTGCATGGCAGAGTGCTAGGGTAGGAGAGTCTGATGGACAAGAGGAGGGTTTGGCCTTAGGCTGCAGCCAGAACCATTTTCTCACTGAGTTCAGAAGGCAGAGTGCATGAGGCTACGAGTGGTGAGGTGCTTACTTAATTGGGCAATGGAAAGATGTGGAAGTTATATCCTACACTCTCCATGAAATAAGACAAGATATTGTCTTTAATTGCCCTTATTAATAACTACTGATTATCGGTAATTTGAAAATATTGAAATTAATTGTTGATAAGGAATTCTCGATGCATGCATGTAATACCAGCAAGTCTGGAGCCTGAGGCAGAATGATTAAAAGTTCAAGGCCAGCCTCAGCCTCTTAGCAAGATCCTCAGCAACTTAGCTAGACCTTGTCTCAAAATAAATACCAAAAAGGGCTGGGTATGCAGCTCAGGGCAAAGTGGGTTCAATCCCCAGTACAAAAAATGAAAACAAAACAAAAAAAGATGAAAAGAAATGATCCCTTCCTTATTTATATCAGGTTCTTACTAAGCACACCCAAATATTCTTGGATATATCCCATTGTCTCCCCACTTCCCCTGTGAGGAGTGAGACTCCAACTTCCTTTAATTTATTCACAGACATCTCTTTTCCGTTCAGCAGGTCCAAGTGCTGGTCTTTGATATTTTTCACTCCTCAGGCATTTGTCTCCATTGAGATAAATTCTTCCAGAAGAAGCTGCCCATCTTGACAAGTCTGTTGTGAGTCCGTGCTCCACTGCACAGCCAGACCTGAAAGTGACGGGAACTGACAAACTCTCTGAACTTGTCCCCTTGGATTTGTCTAATGGGCCTTTTCCTGACACAGATGAAAAAGTCATTGACAGAAACAGACCATTTACCATGAACCTGAGCAGAGGTATGAGCAGCGACAGATGAAATAGGGCTCGAAATAAAGCTGGGAAATCCAGGACACATGTGATGGGCCCAAGGAGACCTCCGCCTGGAGAATCAGACATGCAATGGATGGTATTGGAATTTGCAGCCCAAATCACCTGTTTGGGGTGGAAGAAAGCCAAGTCCCAGATTTCCTATCTCTCACCCAACTTTACACCACAGAGAGGCTGCAGAGAGACAACTTAGGGATCAGAGGTGGCTTTCAAACAGTCCACTCAGGTCCAATGCCAAGTTATCTTTCCAAG